GTGCTGGAACTTCTCACTATTCACAGCTCACCAGTTTCCATACTCTCCGGCGGCCGCCGCGCGAAGGTCGTCTGCGAGGCCGTTCCACAAATATCATCAAATAAAGGTTATCCTTATCTTATTATATTCGCATCGAAAATTTCTCACCATTATCAACGGCTTGCGTACTTTTTCAGTGGGCGATGAACTTAATAAAAACTAAATTTGATGTTTCGTATGGTCACGGTTTTGATGGTATCATTTATCTTGAAACACATTCGAAGTTTCGAACTTCAGAGTTCAATTTTATGAACTTAAGAGCTACTTTTAGCATAATTCATAAGCTTAACATCATGAATGAAGTAGCTGGTGGAGGTTGTACTGTAATTTTCTCTGTATATGAAGTATTCTTAAAACAAGTTTTCTACATGCATTTGCTTTAACCCTTTTCTTTTGTTTGAAAATAATTTACGTCACGTTGGGCAACATAGATCGAGGCTTTTTGAAGAAAAGCTGCAGCAAAAAAATTAAGTTAAAGCGAAAAAATTAAGTTGAAGCTCGTATAAGCCTGTTTCCAATGTTGTGCTCAATGTATGTCTCCATGTATTCTTTTGGTGGTCCAGCTGGTGGCGGGGCAACTAAGAGGAGTTTCACGAGGCTAAAACTTAAGAAAGTACAAAATATTGTTAAAGAAAGCTACCGGAAAATTACGCAGAGCAATGACCTTGAAGATAACCACCTGGAAGCAGAAACTTCTACCTCAAACGATGAGCCTGATGAGTTGGATGAGCAAATGAATACCAATGTCCAGAATGATTCTACGGAATATGTATATCCTTATGTTAAATCTCACCGACAAGCTGCTTATTCTGCAGTATCTTCTGCTCCATCCTCAAGCAGATGGGGAAATGTAAGACCAGACGAAAGCTATAGACCTAATGCGACCAATGCCTCTAAGAAAGGGAAGATGTTGAAATCCAACAATGACTTCTTTAGCAGAAAATTGTTTAAGGAGTTGGGGTGCAACAATTATATTATTGAGGCTTTAAAGAGCCTGCAATATGAGCGTCCTTCACACATTCAGGTTGTCTTCTTTCAATTGTTGATCCTCTTGCAATCACCACTGTTATATCCACAGTGAGCCCCTTGGTATGGCATACAAAGTTGTGTCCAGCTTCTTGAAAGAATGTTTGTATTCACTCAAGAGAATACATTTGCTTATGCAATTAATATTTGGTACCTAAAGGGCCTAATTTGTCTAGTAAATAAATTTACTATTGTTTCCGAGTAACTTGCTTCATTACATTCAGATCTCGGAACTGGCTCTTTCCTACTACTCTAGCATATGATCAGCTTATCGTTGCACAAATTAGAAACCTCCTATGTTTTTCCTTGTAGTAGGATTATTATGGAAAACTTAATAGGTATTCAATTTTGTTTCATTCAAGTGCTTCAAAGTAAGAAGTGCTTTCATTGTATAATAAGAAATAAAGATTTAGGGAACTGAATATGCCATTTCAAATTTGACATGCTCTTCATTTTGTAATAATTTATCAAAATTGTAACAAAACAGGTGCAATATTAGCACACTCCATTTGGTCAATTTCTTTTCATGCATTTTCAGTTTCCTTTGTGGAAAATGTTGAATTTATGTTTTTTGCCTCTCGTTGTGGGAGAGACTCAAAGTTTTTTTGTTAAATGTGGTTACATTAATGCAGGCTATGTCATTTGTCCCAGTTATTTGTGGAAAAAGTTGCATTATGGCTGATCAGAGTGGATCTGGCAAAACTTTGGCTTATCTAGTTCCACTTGTACAACGCCTTAGACAAGAAGAAACTGAAGGACTTAGCAAACCTGCATCTCAAAATCCTCGAGTTGTAATTCTGGTCCCAACTGCCGAGTTGGCCTCTCAGGTCTGATAATATGTCAAATGCACAAAAAATCACTGCTCTACATTGTGTTAGTGTCAGTGGCTGGCTGCTCAACGTCTCTGTTTACTTTCCAAATTTTTTAATGGAAATAATGGTGATTACAATATCCATATGTCTAACATGATTTGTTTTCCTTGATTTTGTATGTATCAGGTAATTTTCACTGGTGAAATTCAATACTTGATCCTGAAGATTGTGGATTCCTGTATTGTTAGGATTTAGGATGATTGAAATATACCCTCTTTCATAGGAATGGATTCTAAACATGATATTTGCTCAATTAATTGGTTCTTTCCTAGGCCCATCTTAAATGTTCGACATGGATCATCATGTAAGCAAGTTTCTAAAAAAAATTGCAAATGTAAATACTCGAAGACAGGAAAACTGAAATATATGAGAAGAATAGCACAATTGGATATTCACAAATTATTCTGTGATGGTATTTTTCTTCGAAACTTCAACAGAAGATCTCATGTCTTATCATAATATGGAGCTTTTGTTCTTTTAATAACTATATATTGCATATTTTCATGTTTTAGTATCCTCTGTTGCATCCCCAGTACCTTCTATTCCATTTATTAACACGTCCAAAAAATAATTATCAGGTTTTGAGTATTTGCCGATCATTCTCTAAAGCTGGAGTCCCTTTCCGCTCTATGGTTGCTACTGGTGGTTTTCGGCAGAAAACTCAGCTGGAGAATCTTAAACATGAAATAGATGTTCTGATTGCAACTCCTGGGAGATTCATGTATCTAGTTAATGAGGGCTTCGTTCAGTTAACAAATCTCAAAAGGTTCGGGCTTTCCATTAGTCTGTTACTGTATTGGTGGCTTGTGTTGGTTATTTCTAGGTTTTGCTGTCTCTTTCATAATTTTGGATTTAGTTGTTTCTCGGTCGATTTTATAAATGCAACTTAAGTTTGGTTCTGGCGCACTGAATTAGCCAAATTTCCTAAACTTCCATCCTTGTATCACAGTATCAGATATTCAGATTACGCTATCAAACTATGCGGGGTATTTAGGCCTTATTTATTATATTACATGTAAAGTGGCTAAGTTGAAGAAATTGTGCGTTAGTTGTTCATATTGGATTAATTCATAATTCAATACAATTACATGTTGATTAAGAATGTTGCATTCAATTGGAGTCTTGTGAGATATTATTGATGAGTTGGAAAAGGCGATAGCTGGAAGTTGAGTTTGAGTCAATTTCGTTCGAATCTAAGCATCGGTCTCTGAAATGCAACTTATCTTAATAGTACAAGAGGAAAGGAATCACACCTTTATCTGTTTCTTTGACCACAATATTATATGTATATACTTAGCACCTTGAACTGAAACATGATTTCGATTCTGCAGATATATAGATAGTTTGTCATAGATAATACTGTCAATCTATTTGTTATGAAATATCTTATCAGAAAGCATCTCCTTCTGAATATTTTGAAATTGGGGCAACCATTCCACGGGGTCTATGCACTACGGGCAATCTAGTTTCATCTCTTTGTCACTTTTTAATAACTTTTCTGTTTGTTTCCAAAGCCCTGAAGTTTTTAGATCTATTCTCTTGCGATAGGGAATAGAACACTTTCCCTTATCAGATTTTATATTCCTCATACTTGTTTTACAAATAACTCAAACTAGTCACCATTTTGTAGGTATTGTCAAATGTCATCGTTTTTTGAGATTATACACAGATCAGGTAAAATGGGTGCAAACCAGTCTGCATAAATTCTTCATTCATGAATATTTTGATTCTTTCAGTATGATTCAGCCATGTATTCACAGAGACAAGTCCAATATATGAAATTTTCTTTATTTCTTTCCTGCTCTTTTCATTATAAAGTTACATTATATTGTCTAAGGCGGTCTTGGTCATAGGAGATCAAGGTGGCAAATTTGGTAGTATGACTGTTTGGTTGGATTGAATATGGTAATTTTGCCAATGTTCCTTTGCCTTCTTAGGGATCTCAAATCTGAATAAATTGTTTCAACAAATTGCTGTTCTGGCTCATGGAAAGACGAAAGATCTATCTTCATCAAGTTATTATTAATATTTCTTTTCCATACACTTCTTCCAAACAGAATATCTTTTGACTTGCTAGATTAATGTGAAATTCTCTTGCTTCAGCGCTGTCCTGGATGAGGTGGATATACTCTACAAAGATGATGATTTTGAACTTGCGTTGCAAAGTTTGATCAATTCAGCACCAGTCACTGTGCAGTATTTATTTGTAACAGCTACATTACCCGTCGAGATATACAACAAGCTAGTTGAAGTTTTTCCTGATTGTGAGGTTATTATGGGTCCTGGTATGCACCGCACAAGCCCAAGATTGGAGGAGGTATTTGGATATGAACCATACTTACTTTGGTTTTTTTGTTATGATAGAAGATGGACACCAGTGTTATCAAATGGCGGACATGGCGGTATGGCGTGGCGGATTTTTGACAATCCACCATTCTAAGTTTGTGAATGATGTTGGTTATGGCTGATTTTGGCAAACCGACATGTACTGCCATCTGCCATTAATAACACTGGACAACGGAACTATTCAGCTTATGCATTTTCGAAGCCGTCTTACCTATTCTATCTGACAGAGAGTACGATTGCTAATGTATTCATTTTGGATTTCCTTCTCTAAATGAGATATCTAGAGAATATTTCAAAGATCATTAAAACTTATACTAATCAACCCCTCATTTTTCTTTTCTCTTCTTAATCCTTTCACCTACAAAATCTCTTTGATTCATTTTTTTGACATCCAATCACACATTATTTTTAATACGCATGTTCCCATTGATTTACTTTTCATCTACTCGCTAATCCTAACTACCAATGCTATCCAAACATTGCTTCACTATTTTTGTACTAATTAAACTCATGTTTTAACATTTTTATCTCATATCAGTTTTACTATCTCAAAAATCTTTGTTCATCTTTAAAAAAAAGTTTGGTGCTATTTAGATATGTTTTCTTTTAGAAAAATCTGTATATGGAAAAAATTTTGGGGGAATATTTTATTACTCTTATAATGTGAAAATGGTAAAATAATGATTGATGCATAAAAATATGTGAGTGATGAACAATAAATTTATAAAGAAATATGTAATATTAGTTTGTTTTTATTTTAAAATTTTTATTGATAAAATTGTTGCTACGGCTAATAATTAATTAACATACAATATTTCTCCCTTATTGATAAAAAATTAAATGAGAAATGAGGCTCGTTCCGAATTGCCTTGGACCAGAAATACCTGCTATGCCACCGGAGCCCCCGCCGGCCTGCACCGTCGCCGGCCCCACCACCGCCTCCCGTTCGCAGTGGAAACTGATGCATGCGACGACAGTTGAAGGCACATCACGTCGAGCTCATTGTGGGTACGTGGCAGGAGGCGGTGGTGGTGCCGGCGACGGTGCAGGCCGGCAGGAGCTCCGGTGGCGTAGCAGGTATTTCTGGTCCAAGACATTTTAGAACGAGCTTCATTTCTCATTTTCTTTATTTTTTATTTTTTTATTTTTTTGAAACCAACTTCTTCATTTTCATTTTTCTTTTTTTATTTTCTGAAAAATGTGTGAAATTACTAAAATGCCATTAAAAAACAGCTTTTTTCAGTGAAAATCACTTTTATATCTGGTTTAGGGGGGCACATTGACAAACCCGTATAGTTCATATGATGGTTTGTAAAAAAAAAAAATAGTTTATATGGTGATGCGCCAAAACTATAATAGTTCGGATGAGAAAAGTATTTTACCCTTATTAATATAATTATACAATACAAAACAATCATGCATATGCATCACATCAATTTTAATTCACTATTCATCCACTAACATAATTTTAACTAAGCATCACTTCACATCACCTCTCTCCTACTTTTAATTATTTTATTTTAAGTATTATTTTAATGTAACCTCAAAATCACACTAACAACTTACCATTACCAATTTTTTCAAAATTAACTGTGGTTGACAAAAAAAACTCCTTTTGAACGGATATATTTGCATACAAGCACGCCCTATGGATGTGACAATGATCTCTTGGGTTGTTTATGCTATTCTAAAATGACTATATAAAGCCCACATCTGCTTCTCAATTGAACATTCCTTATGGTAGAAACTAGAAAGGGCTGTTTTTGCACGACTTTTCTTTACTAAATAATAAATATTTGTGTCTTATGTGGTATCAGACAGTTTGTGGAATACATTACAATATTCTACATCACTATCTGCGAATGTCGCAGCACCAGATAGATCGTGTTCTCTGGAATCTGTGCCCACATTTGATTCTTTCCTTTCCCAAATATATATGTGTCCACACTGTTCCCATGTAGATGTGAGGTTTATTTGGTCTAGTGAATATTAAAGGCTGTTAATTTACAGCCTGCTGCAGATGCTAGAAATTTATCTGTTTTCAGGAGTAATTCAGTAGATTTTTCATTTTCTGATTACTCCAGATTTCCAGGTTCTTATAGATTGCAGTGGAGACGAAGAAACTGAAAAGACCCCCGATACAGCTTTTATCAACAAGAGAAGTGCTCTTGTCCGACTTGTGGAGGAAAGTCCTGTGGCAAAGAGCATTGTGTTCTGTAACAAGGTATTATTCTCTACATATCTCTTATACAGCATTTCTCTTCGAATTTTTGCTGAAATAGTTGGGGTTTTTTCGGTGCAGATCGAAACATGCAGAAAAGTTGAAAATGCATTAAAGCGCCTTGATCGAAAAGAAATTAATATAAAGGTTTTACCATTCCATGCTGCTTTGGAACAGGAATCGAGGCTTGCAAATCTAGAAAAATTTCGTAGCTTTCCGACTGGGAATATTTCCATGTTCTTAGTTTGCACAGATAGGTATACAAATATAATATTTTCTTGTAAGTCTTCTGTACTGAATATAAGTTCTATTGCTCTGATGTATATGTTTATGTTTAATTGTTTATAAAACCTGTTGTGGAACACTTCAGGATTGATGTCAAATTCAACAAATTTGGGTCTTTTTTGCCATAATTTGCAGGGCATCCAGAGGAATGGACTTTGCAGGGGTAGATCATGTAGTGCTCTTTGACTTTCCACGTGATCCAAGTGAATATGTACGTCGTGTTGGACGAACAGCCCGAGGTGCCGGAGGTAAGGGAAAGGCTTTTGTTTTTGCTGTTGGCAAGCAAGTTCCTCTAGCAAGGAAGATTATGGAAAGAAATCAAAAGGGGCATCCATTGCATGATGTACCTTCTGCCTATGAGGTGATGAGGTAGACTAGCTGTGGAAGTGAAGTGTAAGCTGTAAGTCCTCCTACTTTAGTTTAAAGGAAACTCTATTGACTTTACTTTACTCTATTTTTATTTATATTACAATTAAAGTAAATGATAGATTAATTTATGTAACACATATATCATAAATTAACGTTTATATTATTCATATTATTAGCAGGTAAACTTAAATCATATTATGCATATTGTTTTAGTGAATAATTTGAACAAAATAATTTTATTAATATTATATATTTTCACCTAACAAATAATTTTTTTCCACAAAAAACTGACATTTTGTATATGTTGAATTTTTTTTTTCATTCAATCATTCTTAAATGGATGCATGTTCACTATATCATTAATTTTTTATTTTTTAATACTATAACCAAAAAAACCTATAATAAAAAATATTATATTTAGAAATTAGAGATGATATTTTCATTGGTGCATTATATATTGTACACTTGTGAAATTAAATATATTTTATTTAAAAAATCTTAAAAAAAATATATTTCTTACATTTAAAAAATAATTTTTATTCTATTTTTTAATTCTAACTTACATATTTATTTAGATAATCTTAACATCTTTATATCAACTAAAAGAAATTAAATTATTGAATACGTAAAAAAATATAATGAAAGATAATAGATAAGACAAATAATAAAGTAAAGTAGAATGAAAAATAATTGATTGAAAAAATGATTGTAACTATTAATATTTATCTCCCTAACAGGTGTGATAAAATTACATTATTTGCCTTAGAATTAATTATAGCGTATGGCATTTTTGGCAATTCAACTTTTTCAAGAAACAAGTTTCCCTTTTAAGATAGTTATTTGAAAATTGAACTTTAATCTATTTCAATTATTATAGAGATTTAGAACCCCATAAATAGTGTGTTAAATTTATTTGGCTTAATTTCGATTAAACTAAAAAATAGATAGATTGTTTATTACATAAAAGTTGTAATTTTACTTATAAAAAATTGATTATGAATGTATTAACTTGTTACATATAATTCAGTGTGTTTTTACTAAATTTTGAAGATGATAGTAAACATTCATGACCATTCAGTTGTAATTAATATTAAAAATATTTATTATATTGAAGTTGATAATGATGATTTGTAACTCACTGCCCTCATTTATTTAAAAGATTAATACATTTTGAATAGACTACAACTACAATTATTTATCACATATCAAATAATAATATGTATGACATTAAGTTGGAATTACTAATTTGTACTTGAATGATAGACGGTCTAAATTATAGTTCCATTTTTTAGAATTTTCAAAATTATAAACTCATCATTACATGTAATTTATTTTATAACTATAAAGATAGATAGGAGTAAACATTTTAAGCATAGCGATGAAGATAATTTTAAATAATATGTATTACAAATTAAAAATAATATTTATTATTTGGCTGGATACTTATTATTTTATATATATAATACTAAGTTTTCTAAATTGTGGAAGCATCATACTAACTTTTCTATTTTTTCTCTATTTCACAAGACAAGTATCCACAATAGATATTAAAAATACATCCATGCTAAAATAAAAATAATTATAATCTCACAATACTAAAATAATCAAAAGAAATAATGAAAATGAACAAATATCCAAAGGTTACGTTTCTTTTTCTTGAGGATAACTGGATTTCAAGTTAAGTGAATATATGTATACTCTTGTAATAAATAAATTAATATTTGTAGATGATGAATAATAGCTAGGATGAGATTAATATAAATTTTATATGCATGAAAAATAATTGTATATGATGAAGAAAAATGGAAGAGTTACATATATTTATAAAAAAAGAAAATATGTGTGTAGTTGTAATGTGATTTTAATTTAAAATTATAATTTTACATTTATATCTTTCAAACAAAAGTTACATTTCATTTTTCTTAAGGATAGTATTGGCCATTCAAGTTTCTATTTAAATGTGGTTGGAGAGTTACAAATCACCATTATCAATTCTAATTTAAAATCACAAATTATATTTATGTCCTTTAAAGTAACATCTTATGAGGGCAGTATGGGCAATTCAAATTTTTCAAGAAATAACTCATACTTTTAAGGTAGTTATAGATAGATAGATATAGAATAGATAGATATAGATAGATTATAGATATAGAAAGGAAACTCTATTGACTTTACTTGGTTGAGTTATAGTTTCTTTTTGAGTGAGTGCTTCGGCTACCAAGAGTTTCTCCAGTATGAGAGTTTTGCATGTAAAAGTTCTGTATACTAATCCTGTGAGTTGCCTATATATAACTCAGCAAAACATGATATAATATCCATCTTGCCTGAATGTGCCAATAAGACAGTATAATAAAGCTTCTCCACAATTTTCCGAGAGAGAGAGAGAGAGAGAGAGAGAGAGAGAGAGAGATAGAGAGATCCCTGTATCGATTGGATAATTTGAACCCTAAAGAATACACACCCCTCTCTCCCCCAGTCACACACACCCCTTTACACAAAAGTTCTGGACATACTACTGTGTTTTGTAATTAATAACATAGATAGAATTTTGTTGTTCTATGCAAATAATAAGATCTAATTGTATGCGTTTGATATCTTGCTATGATTTGTTTGTTTTATAGAACAAGACAAATTTACTCGCTTCGTAATTGACAACTGTCACATAGATATACTGAGCTCGATAATCTTAAAATGTTATGCCTGAATTGCAATTACCAAAAAAAAAAAAAAGGTTTTTTTAGGAGGATATGATATTTCTAGAAACCAATGTGAAATTAGATCTGGTATTATTGTGCTTTCAAAAGGTTGTATATGTTGCATGAGTTGGCAACATAGTTGGGGAACTGTTTGCCATTTGAAGCTGTCTTCTAAAAGAATTCACATAACATTTCATTATTCATGGTATTTCTAATTATAGAGACAAGACCGATTTGCTTTCTTTTGTAATTGCAGTTGCCTCATGCATGTGATGAGAGCGATGTCCATGTTGTTAATTGTAGAGAAGGAAACATTATAATTAGTATGACCATGCATTCGAAGTTCCCTCGAAAAGCTCAAGAACAACTGGATTGGGCATGTCTTTTTTATGCTTTACTCCTTAGCAGGCACGGTGTCATGTGATTAGATTTTGGTTAGCAAGCGCCAGATCTCATGTTAGTTCTTTAATATTGGTTGTTGTTTATATATAGGTTCTTCAACATTTGTTTTGAGGTTAATGCTATATTACGGTGTAGCCGGGACTTTGTGTCTCAGTTTATTAAGATTTCATGACATTCACATAGCCGAGGTTCAACATCTTTAACTTTCTACTGTTTTTTTCTTTATTGTGAAGTTTCTGAATGCAATTGCAATGCTAGCACCATAGTGATTCGACAAAAAATCTATGGAGCCATCAAATGGTTTCTTATGGAGCCATCCACCACTTAATGTATTGACACGTGTCCAAATTCTATTTATTGTAGGACACGTGTCAATACATTATTGGTGAATAAATGTGGATGGTTCCATAAGTCGAGTCATCCGATGACTCCACGACAAAACTGAGTGATTCACAAAAATGAGTGATTCGAATACAAATCAGTGAAATTTTTTATACCACTTACGCAAAGTGATTCCAATCCCAACTAATAAAAGTTCCCTATACCACTCAGGTTTATGCCATATGTCATCTGGATTTCTAAATATTTGATCAATATAGGATGTGTCTGGGTTGAACAGGTTTTAGTAATATTTGAGGAGGATTTGAGTCTAGGCTAAGTGTATGGAGTTTTTATGGTTTAAAAGATGTCAATGAATATGAAACTACCAGTAAAATACATAACGTGATTATAAAGATTTTTATGAATTAGTGAAATTTATATGATTATATTGAAAAATATAAAATTGTCGTAGTATTTTCATTAGTAATAAGTGGATGTATATTATTAAAAAAACATTTTGAACTTAAAATCAAAGAATCATATATTAATGTTCATATTTAAGTTTTAAATTAATGGATTCTATGTGGATATTTTTTTTTTTTGGATACAATAAGAGAGGTTGAAGCCTAACGATCGCTAATTCAACACACGACGTGGATGAGCCACCCTTACGATATCATAACTCAATCAATGACCAAGTTCCAGTGGCGGGAAAATAAGGCAATGTACCCAACCGCAACACCAGCAGCAAGTGAAGCTAACTTATCGGCCGAGAAGTTCCCTTCCCGATATATGTGGGACACATGAACACTCCACTCTCGCGTGAGGAATTCGCGAATGGCTTGGATAATGGTTTCATGGAGCCCAAAGTTATAATCATCTCTGAGGACTATAGCTACGCCACTACTATTATCCACTTCTACCAACACATTCCTCTCTCCCAATTCTTAAGCCAATCGAAGCCCGTAAAACAGACCCCATAATTTTGCCCCAGTTATAGAACAAAAACCCACATTCATAAGGAACCCGCCAAGCCAACGACCATGTGAGTCCCGGGCTAACCCACCAGCATTACCGCGTCGAGAAGCCGTGCACAGCGCGCCGTCCGTATTAACTTTGATCCAACCACCTGGAGGGGGCGACCACTGGATCAATACCTCCTCATAACACCGATCTCGGACGCCCAAAATAGTTGCACAATCCATGCTGCTCACATGCCGATCAACTCTACTTTTAATATATCCAATCCGTGCCTCAAGAGGAATTATCTTGTTCGAAAATATGGCCATGTTCCTCCAAGCCATAGACGCCAACATGTGATGGGAAAGGTGGTTGCCCAGTTCTCAAGCCCAACATTAGCATGTTCCACTAAATTCGACCACAACCACTCACGCACATCCTGGGAGAAGAAGCTCTGCCTGCTTGAGTTCGGCACTAACTTCAGCCACACGTTACGCGCCTTGTCACAATCCCGCAGCACATGAGCCGTCGACTCGGGCTGACCACAAAAAACGCATGCCACATCCTCAGCTATATGTCGACGAGCCCGTTCCATATTAGTAAACAAAAAATCCCTACTAGCCAA